GGGGGGGGGGCTGTAACCCCGGGGCTTTATGGTCTGGTCTGGTGTTTTTCCAAGGGTTTTCTGGGGGGGACCGACCCCACAGGAGGACAGAAAGCCCCCCCCCCCCCCAAGCTGGCTCCAAGGCCTTGGTCTTCTTGGCAGCCAACCTTAATGGCAGGCCCCTGAGATGGGGTAAATGAATGGTGCCCTCTCACGCAGGAGGGACATACCTGTAATGAGTCTCTAAACGAGGGTTAAAACCAACCCCAGGAGATCCCTGCAGATAGACAAGATATCACCGTAGGAAAGATGCTAAGCCGGAAAGCCTTGGTTGCCGGATCTCTGCTTGCAGGCCGTTTCACTTTGGGAAAAGAGCACCCATTCCTTGTGATCTGAAGGTGTCGTCCTCATCTGGACTTGAAAAGAGTCATTGAGCGACTCAGCCCTGCTCTGTGCAGGAATCCAGATGAAAGCAGTAGATGAATGCCAGCTACTGCTTAAATATGCCCAGTGAAGGAGACCCCTCCACCTTTCTGCTTCTGTTGTCCCAGGAGCTCTGGGAGTTTCTAGTCTGGCATGCAATTTTGCCCAATAAGCACACCAGGGTGGAGATAATAAAGTATTTGTTCTGCGCAGAGTAAGGTGCCCGGGAATTGTTTCCAGAGCAGGCACACGTATTTGTCGATCCACACAACTTTCATACATTCTTGAAACAACTACATGATCATTGGCAGGCAGTAATTATTCACACCCTTGGGTGGGCAAAACACTCCCAAAAGGCGGGCACTACCCCTCAAAGGTGGGTGCTGGTTGTTGCTAAGGGAAATATGACCTAGGTGGTTTCTTGTCTCTCTGGTTGTTAGCGCAGGTGAGCACAGCTGGTTTCTCCTGGGGGAGGTTTCGCTACTCTGCACTTCTCAGCTCTGACTGATAAGAAATGCTGTATTCAAAGAGAAGGGAATTTGAAGGGTTTGCAATTTAATTATCTGCTCTGTTCCCATCAGCTAGTGAAGATCCCTTCTGGCCCATACATGATGTTTTTGCTGCCGCCTTCAAATTAATCCTAAAATCACCATTCCATCCATTCCACTGTTGAACAATTCTTACTGTTCTGCTAGGAAGGTTTTTCTAACATTTCATGAGAATCTGCTTTGCAGTTAAATCCATTGCTCCCTATGGTGACCTCTGAAGCAAGAGGACAGGCCTTGACTTGCTTCTGTGTGATGCCCTTTCAGTATCTAGCACAGGGTTTCTCAGCCTTGGCAACTTTAAGATGTGTGGACTTCTTATGTTGGCTGGGGAATTCTGGGAGTTGAAGTCTACACATCTTAAAGTTGCCAAGGTTGAGAAACCCTGATCTAGCCTATCCCACTCAGGTAGTGTCCCCACTTGCCTCAACTATGGCCCTATAATTCCTTGACCACTACAATCCCTCCCCCGCCCCCTTTGTCCCCATAACATTGCCTTTGTTTCATCACCTGCCTATGTATGAGACAGATTTAAGCTGTTTCCTTAGCTGTATTGTTGTTAAACCCGTTTTCCCCTTATTCTGAAACTGTCCAGCAGCAGCAGCCTCCAACTACTTCACTATCATTAATGTTTGTTTGTTTGTTTGTTTGTATCTATAAGCCACCCAACTCCAACGGACTCCAATGCTGGAGGCAAAGTTGAAGGCAAAATCAGATGATCAGTAATGGGAATGATCAGAGAGATGCCTGTTGGCTGTTCCAGGGTGGTATCAGGCATGCCCTTTTCCTCTGATTCCCAACCAGCCTCTTCTACCACCATTCTGCTGTTTCCTTCCTAAAATCTTGAACAAGTTGTTTTAACCCAGCCTCACTTCTATGATGTTGCATAGAAAACTATACAGACCTGTGCTAGTCATGGTCAGATTATATAAGAAATTGAGGTCTGTTTGTCTCACATAATTTGGACCCTTTTGGGTTCAAGTTACAGCATACGTTCATATAATCCTGGAAAAAATGTAGTAATTAAAGTTGTAAATGTTACACTAAATTATATTCCCAAAATAAGGAATTTAACATTTTATTAAGAACTCTAGCATTACCGATCTTTGGAGCTCGAGACAGAGTATTATTTTATGTAGATGGAGAAAAATAAATCTTTTTGATGTTAACAGATGGATTCAGGATAGGTGTTTCTTATCAATTTTAGAAATGTCTTTATAGTCTAAAAATGATAAATTGGAGCATTATGCTCTTATACGATCAACATTTAATAAACAGTTCTCTTTCATATATTTTTTACTTATGTCTGAGGTTGTAACCAGCACAACCTTCCTCCAAGGTCTGTTGAGGTGGGGGAACAGAGGGAGCAGGACCTGCAACGTTCAGGGCCAAGAAAGCTATTTTCAGGGTCATAAGGCTGCCATGATGATTGACAGATAAGCATGTGCAAGGATAGCAGAAAGAAAGTGAAAGAGAGAATAGGGAGAAAAAGTGGACAACCAAGGGAAACATTGGAGTGATATCCTTTATTTCTTTTAAAATTGAATTTCAAGACAAAAAAAAATAAAAACAACCAGCAAATTAAAAGCCTGCCACATCCTAAAGCTGGTTTGAGGCAGATGAAGAAGATGACATATAAATAAAGAAGACTCTCCGGTAATCTTTATTGTTGAGCCACTCAATAAGTCGCCAAAGAACATGGTTGCATTTTTATCTGCTCTAAGAAATGTGTAGGAGGAGTAAGATCTTGTCTGGGTATACATGCACGGGTTGCACGGGTGGAAAAGGGTTGCCGCTATGGACCAGTGCAGCTGTGCAGATCTGAAACTGCACACTCACCCCCCCTTCCCGACTGGAATGAATATTGTGGGAGGAGGGATGTTCCAATGGAAGTGCTTGTTTTCATGCTTTTGGGGAAGAAGACCTCACCCTGGGCTGACTTGCAGCGCTGTGCCCAGAAGTTAAGCTCAGAGGACAATGTGTGAGTGCCAAGGCCTCTCCAGCCCATTTACAAGTTCCAGTAACATAATAAGCAGGAACTGTGGAACTGTGGTATCCATCACAAGACACAACATATACAAATATCTCCCTTGCAGCAAAGGATATTGGGATTATGAGTTTTTCAGCACCAGATCGATGCTGTTAGATCTCATTTCTCTTACTGCAGTCTATAAGACTTGCTCATTCATTCTAGATATCTTATTGCTGTTTTTCTGTATTGGCAATGCAACATTTGACTTGCAGTGAAAATGTAAAGCATTCAATACAGGCAATTTTATTATATGCAGGTGTTGTATGTGTGCCCATTAACCTAAGACAAACATTTCTCTCTCCTGGTGTGATTTCTGTCTGCATTCCTTGCTTTGTATGTGGAAATACTGCAGAGCATAGACAAAGATAACTTCATCTTCTTAACTTCAATTTTATTTTAAATCCAATTAATAAATGATGTGGAAACTGATTACCATATTCAGCAGGCAGTATAATATCAGCTGGCATTTCTGCTCCTGCATGGAATCCATTTTTTTTTTATTCAGTTGGAAAGGTAAGAATGAGCAAGCTCAGATCTTCTTCAGAACTTCAGAACTTGAACATGTTTACCCTTCCCATCCAAATAGTAATTTATGCATTTCGAGATAAAATAAGGATCTGATCAAATCACTACTATTTATTTGGTAATGTTATAATTTAAGCAACAGTCAATTCTAATAAATTCTGGGCACTTTATACAATAAGTCAGACCAATAAAATAAATTGACGATATGCATCTGGAAAAACAACAAAAAAACATATGAAATAGCGTAAAAACTTTACAAGGGCCCTTTATAAGGGCTCACTTACCTGTTCAAGGCCTGGGAGAATGGCCAGATTTTCAGTTCCTTTCAGAAGGTCACCAGGGTGGGAGCCATATCAAGCTTTGTGGGGATGCCGTCCCAGAGGGCAGGCATTGCAGCAGAGAAGGCACACCTCTGAAGCCCCAGTAGATATCACTGTTTAATTGGGGTGACCCAAAGGGTACCCCCTCTGCTGGATCTTAAAGGACAGGTAGAAACTATTGGAGATAGGTGGTTTCTCAAATAACCAGGCCCTATGCCATGAAGGGCCTTATTAAAAACCAGCACCTTGAATTGCATCTAGAAGCCAGCTGGCCACTAGTGCAGTTCATGGAGCAGTGGTGTCACTTGCCCATACTATGACATGCCCATTACTGCCCATGCCACCACATTCTAGACCAGCTGTGGTTTCCAAGTGATTTTCAAGGGCAGCCCCATGTATAACACATTGCAGTTCTCAATTTGTGAGGTGACTAGGGCAAGAGCGACCATCTGAAGGGTCTCCTAATCCAAGAAATTCTGCTTACTTATCTATCAATTTTATTTTACTGATCTATTTTAATTACTCTCGCTTTTCCCAAAACAGTGACAGTCTGGCAGAATGAAGCAACCCTTAGCTCTGTCAGTTATGTGTAAAGCAAAATTGCTTCCCCTCCTTCTCTTGCTCCATCCATTTCTCCCTCTCCTTGTACTCCAGAAGTCACCATTACATTGTAAATGTGTAGGTAAGAAGAAAATTGCTAAATTTAGGAGGAAAAATTATTTTAATTGTAAGTTTGTAATTGTAAGTTAAAAGTATACCAAACTTCTTGGTCTTGGCTCTGCCCACGTTTTTGTATGCAATCCCTAGCATGTCACTCAACAACCAAAGGTGACACCACTGTAGTACACCCACTTAATAATGGTTTATGCATAAGTAGACCTTTCATGGGGACACTTAAACGAGACAGAGCATATTTTACACATTAATGATGGCATGAATGCTAATTTTGAATGTGTGGGAAGATATGTGGCTTCATCTGGAAAGCTATTTTCTTGTTTAATTATCTTTTATAGCATGTCTATAAAAGATGTTAATTATAAAAAAATATTATTTCAGAAAGAAGATAACCTAGGTGAAGAAAGCTTTGCCTTTTTCTAAACCTTGTACACAGTGAATTAACCAACAGAGAGTTGCAAAATATTCTGATGCCCTCAATATCATAGATCATTGCTTATATTTCACATATTTTTAAGTGGCTTTCTTTCTTCCTCCCATTATCCTAGAGCTTGGGGACAGTAGAGTCAAACCAAAACAAAAAAAACATGCATAGTTAATTTATGGGTTTTCCAATTCCAAGATGTGATGGTCACTGGCTTAGCTGACTTTAAATGGGAATTATGGGCTAATTCTGACCATGGTTATCAGGCTTGATGGCTGTCCAGTATCTCAGAGGTCAGCAGAATTCCTTCGCACGATCACATGGAATTAAGCCAGTTTAAAAAATGCTGAGATCTTGCAGGAGATCACCATGCACGCTGTCATGAAATTGTGGCACTTTTCTGACTTTGGCAATTTTGTGTGAGAGCTCATAAGGTGTTATTAGCCCCACTGGATTCCATCAATTTCTAAATGAATTTTACATGGAGGAGACAAAGAAGCATCTGCCGAGACTTCTGTTGGCACCCTTTGCTCCTGCATGTTATATTGCCAGCCTCTCTGATACCTCATTTTCAGAACCAATATATTGTTGAATATTAGTTAAATCAAATAATGTTATTGTCTAAAGTTATTTCTGCCTTTTTTCCAACTTAGGAAGCACGCAGTTTAAAGTGACAATCAAACTAATCTCCCCAACAGAAACAATCCAGACCATGTTCCGCAGCTTCTAGACAGGAACGATGGGTCTTTTCGAATGCAATATTGGCTTTATGGAAGTGTTGAGGAAGGGTTAAAAGTGGAAATCCTTTATTGTGATGTACACATAGCTCAGTCTCCTTATATTTTGAAGGGTAAGGACCTGATTGGTTGTTAAATGCAAAAAATTTCTTCTCAGAGTGTTCAGTATGGATTTGTTAGGAGGTCTTTAAAGAAAAATAATGTTCTTGAAAATGAACATTCCTTTTTTCGATTCATGCAAATTTAGATGGGGATGAACAGAGTTGTATTCTATCCTATTTGGAATGGCATAAGACTGAAGAAGACAGAGTTATACAACATGAAGAGTTATTGTTAAGTATTATAATAGAGGATACCTTTAACACCTTATATAAGAGCATGGTTGCTTTGTAGAATATTTTATAATAGTTATCTTCAAGGAATAGCTATTAAATTGGCCGGGCTTCCAATCCTGCTAAATTCATTTATAATTTTAAGTTGTGGGTGCATAATTCCAAAAATTTAGAATTGAGAGTTACTAAGTCTGAATATTTATAATCAGGCTCTTGTCTGTTCTAAGTGATTTAAAGTCTTACATAATTACATACCTCCTTGAAAAGAGAAATCACCGTAATGCATCAACCTCTATTCTGAACATCATAAAGTGTTTTGCCTTTTTCAGGTCCAGTTTATCATGAATATTGTGAAAGTCCAGAAGAAGATCCTCAGATTTGGGAAAATATTTTATCATGCCCATCAGAAGAATCTCAAATTACTAAGGACTTTGCTGCATTGATCTTTAGCACATGTTTGATGAAGTCCCATGGAGATTTGGCCAAAATACAGGAGCCATAGTTCATTACACTCCTTAATAATTGCATTTATCGTTGGTCCATGGGGAAGTACACAGACTTCAAAATGTTTTCAGATGAAATGCTTTTGTCACTGGCAAGGAAGGTATATCCCTACCGGTACTCACTTATTAATGTCTATTGTAATAGGCATGTGTACAAATGCAACAATATTTCAACCCATTGAATATTCCTATATGCCACAACAACATTTTTCAACTAATGTTGCCTCTTTGATATTAAGAAAAAGATTATTTTTGGCTAGCATCCCCTAGGCTTGGTCAGGTTTCCTCCTTCAAGTTCAGAGACAGACTTTGAAGGGGAAAGTCTGATATTGGGAAACTCTTATATTGGAGTCCCCACTGCCAAGTCTGCAAATGAACTAAGTATTTTAGACCAGAACATAAACTGGCTGAAATTTATTCACTCCAGTTGCAAAAAATAGCTTGGTGTTAGGTTGGTTGAAGAACTCAGCTGTTATTGCTCTGTCTAGCTCATTTGCGAGAAATAATACCTTCTTCAATATCCTGTTGAATTTGATGCAGAGATATGGCTCCAGACTGTTTCCATATTTCAAATATTTCCACCATCAGACCGAGGAGGAAAATTAAATGGCATTAAAATCTGCATCCTCATTTATACTGGAATATTCATTTAAATGCATATCCACAGATACATTCCATCCTTTGATTTCCATCTAATATAACCTCTGGTTCTTAAGTCAGCAAGTGATACAAGAGGAATATATACACAAAGGAGTCTTCTTAGCTGAATTAGGACCAGAAAGGATAGAAGAAACTCAGCATTATGGACTGCGGTATTTATGCTGTCAGGTAGTGGATATAGGTAAGAGGCTTACTACCTTATAAGTTCTTTTTAACTTTGCAATGGTTTTCCAATTTTTTTTTCTTTTTTCTCTTTTGTAAATGTATTAT